TTGAAATTCCCTGGCATACCCGATTTACTGTTAATTTACTTCTCCTGGTTCCTGTTATACATAATTCACGGATAAGAATAGATATCGGCGGATTCGAGATTTTACCCCTATATTCTCTATATCCCATGCTATTCCTACATATCCCAATTAATCACCCGACTTTTCAAATCGCTTTCTAAATAAGTGATCTAAATCGCATTCATCCATAAAATTTAACGCTAAAAATTCTTTTGATTAACCTTATAATGATTTTTTATATTTTAAAATTTATTAATTTTGTGCCTTGAGAAATTGGAAATCTTTTTCAGAAATTTCAGAAAATTTCTTCTAAAGTTTTAGTTAAAAAAATTTTCTTGTGGGTCTTTTGTCTGTGGGTATTCTGTCCTTGTGGGTCTTCTGTCTGTGGGTCTTTTGTCTGTGGTTCTTCTGTCCTTGGGTCTTCTGTCTGTGGGTCTTCTGTCACTACGCCTCTTCTAGTAAGTATTATTTTTTAAATCCATTTGCCCTATTTTCATTTCTTCCCCATTTTTACATTTAAAACTAAATTAATCAAAGGGGAGCAATTTTAGGTATAAGTATATTAAGAATTGTGAGAAACTTTAATTTTCATTTGTAAATGAATGCTAAACCTTTTAATGAAAAACATTCTACAAAAACAAAATTTATAAAACCCAAACTTACTAGAAATATCTAGGGTAATGTGAAACAAAATTAAACCTTTTTGATAGATTTAGTCATCACTAAGGCTGTGATTTATAGGCAAATGCCTTTTTTTTGCGAGCTTGGCATGATGTAATACGTTCAAAAAACTTGTTTTTAGCTTGGTCCGAATAGTTTAGCATGACTTTTAGTTTGCCTATTTTTGCCTATTTCGGACTTTTTGAGCCTTTTTGCCTATTTTGGAATTTTCGGTACTATTTTTGCCTTTTTTAGCGATTTTTCCTAAATTTTGCCTAAAAATCAGTGAAAATCTAAAAAAAATCAGCCCAGATTTAAAAAAAATCCGTGCCAACCCTAAATTTTAATTTATAATTCGACAAATTAAGTATTTTTACTCCGTTGGACATTTTGAAATTAGACGTTTTGGTGTTGGGACATTTTGGGGTGGGACATTTTGTGGGTTGGGCAAGACTTGCTTTTTGTCAATTATCGACATTTTTAAAAATTGCACCATTTTTGCTTAAAAAATGATTTAAAATGACGAATAAATGGCAAAATGGTCAAAAAACGGCGAATAGGTTTTCTTGTTTTTATAGGCTGATAACCTTTTTTACCTGCCTATTTTTGTGCCTTTTTTGGCTTTTTGGTGCCTATTTTAGGCGCCTATTTCACTAATTTTACTTGCCTAACTATCACAGCCTTAGTCATCACAATTTGATTATATTAATCTATATATTCTAAAGTTTATGTAAAATTTTTATATAAAAATTGGATTTTAAAAATCCATATCAAAAATCCGAGGAAATCGTAAAGCAAATTGCTTTAATCTGAGATGGGCATGATCAGGATTTTTTTTATTTTCATTCAATAGTTGTTTAATATTTTTACCGAAACCCCTGATTCCGATAGCGGTTCTTGATCGGGTCCTGATTATGCTCATGTCTAACTTTAACTTTTTTATTTATTTTTTAAAATTTAAATTTGTAAATATTTTTATTTTGATAAAAAAATTTTATTCAATTTTTTATTATTTTTAAATATTTAGGATTGTACAGGGGGACATTTTTGGGTAGGGACATTTTCGGGGCGCGCCCATTATTCATTTACTTTTTCCTTCCCACCCATCCATAAATTCAGTTCAAGTCAATTTTTAAGCCGTACAAAAAACTAACTATAGAGCTCATATTTCATTATTTTTAGATAATTAAAAATGTTTTCTCTTCCAAATGAAGCAAAACTTGATGTATTAAAATGTCTTGATTTCAACCAATTATTTTCTGTTAAACAAACAAATTTTTACTTTCGCAATTTAATTAATAAATATGAGGGAGAATTGGCACGAATGAAATTCAATACCCTCTCTTTGGTAAATATTTATTTAAAAAACATTCTAAGTTTTTAGGCTGATGAAAATGATTGTTTTGTTTATACTGGTAAAATTATTGATCTTGAATCTGGACTTTTTGATTTTACTTTGAATGATCAACTTAAGGAGAAGGTTAAAAATTAATTTCTGTAAATTACATTTATTTTTTTTCAGTGGCAGGCAGCTGTAGACAAATCAATTCCCCTGTTTTTGGATATTTTTGAGAATTCGAAAAGCTTTGTTTGCATTAGAAAAAGAAATTTCGGTTTAATGTGCTATTCAAGTTATCTACTAGAATTGCCAAAATTTCCAAAAAATATTGAAGAAATGATTATTGTTCGATGTTGGCTAGAACATTTATTTAATTGTGCTTTTGAGTATGCTGATTTTTCTAGAAATATATTTAATCCACAAATGATCAATATATTATTCGATAACGACAAAACAATTCCACTTCAATTTAACATTCAAACTAGTGGTCGGTAAAATCGCGTTTGCGGGATCCCGCGGGATAAATCACGCACTCCCTCAAAATCCCGCATTTTAAATTTGCGGATTTGCGGGATTTTTCAAAAATTGTTAAAATTATCAATATCTATTTAAAAAATCGATTTACTAAACATTAACGGATTTTTAACTCGTACTCGTTGCTTGTACACGTATCGTACTTCGTACCAATTTACGAGTACAAGCAAGTTGGTACAAATGTATAATCACTTATCCCAGGTCCCCAATTATCAAAAAATCATAAGGGGCAAGCTCATATATATTCATCGGAAAATTCGAGTATACGATTAGAATAGCCTGAGCTGAAACAAATGGGATTAATCATCGTGATCTAACAATTTGGACAATCTTGTTTTGATGAAATAGAGATGATTCATTGGGCGGCAGGCGAAAATTTTAGAAGACCAAGTATCGAAATTCCTTCCTTTTTAGCGCCGTAGGCAAAAATAGTATTTTGCGGGATCCCGCGGGATAAAAATTTTTTAAATAAATTTTTTTAAGCAATTCTATTTGTGGACAAAAAATTAATTGAAAACATTTTGAAATTTTCTTTAAATCATTTATTAGTTTCTGAATTACTTAGTATTAATTTAATTGATGATGACACTACAGAACAACATACAAATCTTTTATTCAATATTTTAATAAATGAAGGAAATAAATTCACAAAAATTTTTTTAAGAGGTGATAAGTTATCAAAGTTTTATCATCTTATTACAGAAGTAATTTTTATTAAAATACAAAACAGAAAATAAATTTAAATTTTAGTATATAGCAACAACAAGAGACTTTTCAAAAATGGTGCACGTCATTGATTTATATTCAATTTACACAAATTTTAAATTAAGTGAAAGAGCAGAGAAGGTTGAAATTAAACAAGAAACTCGAGTCAAATATACAAAATACCAAATTGCCAATATTTACAATCCAAAAGTAAAATTCTCTTTTTACAGTGAAGAGCGGTATGGATCAATTTATATTAAAATCAAAAAATGAAAGAATAAAATTTAACAGGACTTTATTTAGAAATTATTGTTTTTCATTGACTTTTGATTAAATTATTTTTGTTTTATAGAATTTATTTGCATCGTTTTTCAACAGGTTAAAGCCTGTATTTATTTTATATTTAAAACACATTTAATAATCAGTTTGGACCTTGCTTTAGTTTGCACCCTTGAGGTTAGAAGTTCTATCTACAAATACCAAACATTATCAAAAACAAAAATAAATAAAAATACTTGCCCCCCACCCCAAATCAGTTTTTTACTTGTTGTATCGTATCGTCTGTCCTTCAGTGCATAATTTTATCAATCTCCCTATTGCTGCATTCACTCAGACACTCTTCCTTCAAATAGTTTTGCTTTTTATTTGTAACTTCTTAAAATATAAAAAATAAACATCGATTCTGCATCGAAGAAGAGACTGCGTCAGTGGACTATCGGTAGATTAAGATGTATATAGTTTGGTGTTCAAGAGGTATTAAGAGGATTTTTAAGTGCCGAACTAAGGAGGGTATCGGTGTTTGTGGGACTTAAGAATAACTCTAACGACAGCAATTCTTGATTAGGATCCTTATTCTGCTCAACTCTAACTTTAAACTTTTTATTTATTATTTAGAATTTAAATTCTTAAATCCGGTTTTATTTTGATAAAGATTTTATTCAATTTTAAAATTATTTTTAAATAAATATTTTGTATTTTTAATATTTGCTAAATAAAAATAAAATTCAAAGAAATTTATTTTCAATAGTTTTTTAAATATTCATAAAAATAAAAAAAAATATTTAAATTATTTTTCAATTAATTTAAGAACAGTCTGGCCATTCAAAATTAATTCTTTCAATAATTTTTATTGTAGAATTAGAGTTTGATTGTAAAAGAAATATTTGAGCATTTTTATTATTTTCTTCATTTTTTCGAAATTTAATTAAAGTAAATCTAAAATAAAATAAAAATTAATTTAAATTTTAATTATTATTTACCTATTATTTGGCACAGAACCAACAAAAATGTGAGGGACTTTTTGACCATTAATACATTGATAATTAACCAAATGATTTTGGTGTAGATGTGCAAAAAGTATTACAAAAAGTAGCCGAATTTCTTTGTATTTTTTAAATTTGTTCCTAAAAAATAATTTTGGTTTGAGAGATTTTTGGAGAGATTTCTTGAGAAAATTTTACAGAAGAAAACTTAAATTTTAAAATGTAAAGGGAATTAATGAAGGGCTAAAATAATTATTGTTTCAACTTCTTGCTGGAGGAGGTAATTAAAGGGAGGGGGTAATTATTTGAGAGAGGGACATTATTTCAGCATTTGCGGTATCAACGATATTATTAGCATCAGATTATTTATTTTAAATATAAATTAATTTAAAAGAGTGACACAATTTGAGAGATTGAACATCCTTCTCTCAAAATAAACACGTCGAATCCTTTCCGAATAAATAATTATCTTGTCCCAAAACCTACCAATTTTCCAATGTTCTTTTTAATCTTTCAGCCACTTTATCGCTATGATTATGTAAATTAATAAGAACAACCCCAGCTGTTTGTCCATTATTTTTCAATAATTCAGTTATTTTATCTAATTCAACACCCAACCAATGAAAAGAGCCTCGTATTTGCCAATGACCATAAGGAAATTTAATTAATGTTGCATAATCAGGTCTGTTATGCAATTGAATGGAGTAAAGACAAAAATCTTTAAAAGATTAAATTAAATTTTAAAATTAGCTAGAATAACAGAAATTATTTATTTATTATTCCCTTATCAATTAATTTTCAGTAATATTTATTTTTTAGAGTTAAAATTAATTACAGAATTTATTTATCACAAAAATTTTGGTTGAAAATTTATTGAAAAATATTTTATCAATTAATTGTAGCCAAAAAAATTATTGACATCCTTTTAAAGCCTTCCAATTTAAAAAATTAATTTACCAGAATTAGACCCATTATCTAATTTTGAACATATCTTTGCTGTGTAAGCAAGACTTCCCTCATATTCAGATCTCCAAAGCTCAGACTTTTTCTCCAAATCAAATTCCCCAAAAAAATTATTCATTGTAGGAACATATTCCTCACTAAACCAACGAAGCATTCTGTCAGCACAATTATTCCCTATACAATCATCAACATTATTTTCATAATCATGATTTCCTAATCCAATTAATAAAGGAATCGGGATTGTTTGTAACCATTCTATCTAAATTTTGTATTTCAAGAATATTTCGAAAATTAAAAAACTTTAAAAAGTTCTAATTGAAAGGAATGTCCAAAATTAGTTAAATCTCCATTAATAATTAATGCTGAAGGTTTTTGTCCATTTCTTTCAAGTATTCGGATAAGTCTATAAATAGCTTTTCGCTGTATTTCATTGGCAAAAGAAGATTCAATAAATACACAATTGGGTGGAGGGAAGGATAAATCGCTTTGTTTTGTTGTTGACTCGTAAACTAAGTCGTTAGTGGGCTAATGAAATTTTTAAAAATTAAAATATAATTCTAAAAGTTGTTTTTACTACTTTATAAAGTAATAATCGTTCAGAGAAAAATTAACGGGAGAGAAGGAAGTATTGCTGAAGGATTTTGTCTAGAAAACATTTTAACCCACTTAACTCATGTATAGAAAATATTTTAGGCTTGTTAGAAAGCCCATAAAATCTCGTACAAAATAGATCGGACTTAAATTTTCCAAAAAAGGGACTGATGAAGATAAAGCTCTAGGAATTAGAGGTCTATTAAAAAAATAAATTAATTTTTACTAATTTACAGTCATCGACATAAAGATAGGGGCAAGTGTAAATGAAATGAAAATTAACTATTTTTCGGTCAAAAAATACGTTCTATATAGCAATCGAAAGCTCTATTCGTATCTCAGTTGACATGTTTCTGCATTTTTCATGAAAATGAAAATTGGCCGAGATAAGCCGGATCTACCGGATATACCAAATCCTATATCCTCGGAAAAATTTTTCGGGAAAAATTTAACAAACCCATTTGATAAAGAATATTTTTGTGAGTATTTGCCAAAAAACCGCTTAGAAATATCTTTTTCCGATCCAGAGATATGATTTTTTGAAAATGGCATTTTTCGTCAATTTTTGCAAAAAATTCAATTTTTAAGGGAAAAATGCCATTTTCAAAAAATCATATCTCTGGATCGGAAAAAGATATTTCTAAGCGGTTTTTTGGCAAATACTCACAAAAATATTCTTTATCAAATGGGTTTGTTAAATTTTTCCCGAAAAATTTTTCCGAGGATATAGGATTTGGTATATCCGGTAGATCCGGCTTATCTCGGCCAATTTTCATTTTCATGAAAAATGCAGAAACATGTCAACTGAGATACGAATAGAGCTTTCGATTGCTATATAGAACGTATTTTTTGACCGAAAAATAGTTAATTTTCATTTCATTTACACTTGCCCCTATCTTTATGTCGATGACTGTATTTTTTGTGTTTGTTTGAGCAGAACAATTTTTACTCCTTTCCTTGCATTGCTGATTGATTGAAACGCAGGGAAAGTGGTATTGAGTGTCACCGGTGAAAAGTAAGGTAATTTCTTTAGAAGAATTAAATGCACTAATATTTTTTAATAAATTTTCTGCCAAATCTTCAGGATAAATAAATGTTGTTGTAATTATAACTAGAATATATTAATAAAAATTAATTAATTAATTAAAATTTTATTTACATTTTAATAGTAAAAACAAACAATAAATTGTGATTTTCATCATAAATTTAGAAAATAAACAGTAAATATTTCAACTAATGCATTCTTTATAAATTAAATTTAGTTAAAAATTAAATAGAGAGAATATTTTTAATTAATTTCAATTGCCTCTAAAATATAGTAAAAGAAAGAAAAATTTATTTTATATATTTCTTATCAGTAGACAAACTCTCAAAAGTTTATAAAAATTTAATTATATAATACAAATATAGAAAAACAAATTTTGAATGTAAAAATATTTAAAATTATTTAAAAAATATTTTTATATTTTTTAAATTTTATTTTTTTCCTTTTTCCTTTTTTAATATTACTTTTAAGGATATATAATTTAATTTATTTTTAGAGAAGGGGAAGGAAATGGCTTTTACATACTTTAAAAAGCATATTCAAGAGAAAATAGAAATTTGGCGGAAAAAAAGTTTGTGGAAGTTGTTTGTTTGGACATTAAAAAAAAAATATTTCCCCATATTTAGTAGTTAAAATTGAATTTTTTGAATTAATTTAAAATAATGCCAAAAATTATTTATTTAATTATTTTATTTTCTATAATTCTAAAAATCGCAATTAATAAACAATTGGATGAATATGATTTTGGATGCATTAAATTATTTGTTAATCCAAATTCTGCTACTTTAGAAGAGAAGGTATAGATTCTATGTGTAAATTCATCAAGTATATTGAGAATAATTCCCCCCCCCCCCCCCAATTATTTGAAGGAAGGTAATTATTCACTATTAATCTTCCAACCTCCATGTGTTAATTACTCCCTCAAGCGTGAGAATGAAACAATAATTATTTTATATATTTATAACTGTATTTAGTTTTACAAAATTAAAAAAATATAATCAGATTAATTTATTTTATTAACAAATTACATATTTTAACAGATGACTTTAGCCTCAAATAATCAAACAAAATTGAGAAGAATAATGGTTATTAGAAAGAATGGATACGGATTTATTTCTTCAACTGGGTAATTCCAAAAAAGATTTTTCGACAAAGTTTAATTCCAAAAAAATTAATTAATTTTTAAGTTATCCTAAAGATGGCTATGAGCGTGTAAAATGCGCAGTTAATTTAGAAGCACAAGAAGGAAGTGGATTAGTTATTAATATAAAATTTTTGGATTTGGATTTAGAACCTAGATATTCTCGTTCAGATCAGTGTTTACGTGATTATTTTATTTTGACATTTATTGGTTTGTTTGATTAAATTGTGAAGAAAATTAAAAATAAATAAAAATTATTTGGGAGGATTTGGGAAAAGATCTGAATAAAAATATTAAAAATTAAATAATTCTTCTAAATATTTTTTAAAAATAAATTTAAAGATAGAGAAGGATTAGAACATACAAGTGAAAGAATTTGTGGAAATAAAAAACCAAAGTCTATACAAAGTATGCAGTCAAAATTAAGAGTTTTATTCATTGCAACATCCCCACCCTTACAGCATTATTTACCAAATACAAATACTTCAAAACGTTGGAAAGGATTTAAATTACGTTTTGATTTTGTAAAAGAAGGTTTAGAAAAATTAATTTTAAACAATTAAATAAAAATATATAATTTAGAGAAAATTTCTGTAATAAACAGTCAATATGAAGAACCAAATAAAAGATATCGTTTAGAATGTGGAGGTGCAAATTTAGTAATATTTTATAATTATTAAATATTTTTTGGGAGTCTCTGAGATAATAGACAAAGTTAAAAATAAACGGGATAAACGGTGAAAAGGGGGGCCAGTATAGACCAAAAATTTAAATATGACAAAAAAATTTATTAAATATTTCAGCCAAATTCTTTAAGTGGAATTATTCAATCACCTGGATTCCCGTAAGTTGACAAAACGGTTACAAAATAATTTAAAATTAATACAAGGTCTACATATCCTCAAAATGTTAATTGTTTTTGGCTTATTCGAGTTGATCCAAATAAAAGAATTTATATTAGAATAGTGGATCTGGAATTATCACCGACATTGGGTAAACATATATTGCAATAAAGGGCTAAATTAAGGATAAGCAAACCTTTCTTGTGAATAAACGCTTGGGGATGAACCAACTTTATCTTATAAAGGTGTAGTATTGAATATGACAATAAATGTTTCTTCCCCCAATGGCTAACTAAACTTAAAAATTTTATTTACAATAGGAGCCGACTGTATTTAGTTAATTTATTTAAAGATTATGAACGTGCTTTTCTTTCAATAATAGATGGATATAGCTTTGGAATTTCTTCTGAAGAAATAAATCAAAAAATTAATGAAGATTATCAAAAATCTTCTAATAACATATTAAATTTTGGTTCCCCAAGAAGAGATACTACAAGTATTTCCTTTTATGGAAATAAATCATATTATACAGAAGAAGGGTCGTTATCTTACCTTTCCGAAAGTAACAGAGTAATTATACAGTTTATGACAACTGAGGGACCAACACAAATTCAATTAGCTGAATACAAGAAAAATTATAGCCCAATTGGTTTCCGTCTTCTTTGGACAGAGGTTTTTAATAAATTTAAAAATTTATTGTCTTAAACACGAAATGCCCCAGAAAATAATTTTTATTTCTTTTTGAGATTTAAAATAATTTTATGTAGGTCCATTCATTGATAGCAACTTCGAGTGATTTCCCTCTAACTACAGATATTGAGACTTCTGTTAGTCAAGATGCTGAAGAAAGCTTTGATGTTATAACGAGTGATCTTTGTCCAGGATTTGTGTGTCTTGGGGGATATTTTTGTTTGGACAGTCAAAATAGTGTTTGTGTTGAACGTAACAGACTTTGTATTAACGAAACATTGCGTTGTGATGGAATCTCAAATTGTGCTGAGAATGATGATAGTGATGAGGAATATTGTTTGATATAAATAATTTAAATAAAAGTAATTATTATTTAGGCTATTCAAAAAATCCTTTTTCAATGTCAGCATTAGCTTTTTTAATAATTATTTTAATTGTGCTTTTACTTTTAATTAGTACTTGCTGTATTATTAAAAGTTTTGGAAATTCTAAAAATGAAAATAATGAAAGAAAAATAAACAAAAAATTGGGGGACAAGGAAAATAAAGAATTTACATCCACAGAAATTTTTAATAAAGAAGAGAATGGGGAAATGATAACTGAACGATTTAAAGGTTTTAACAAATTAAAAAAAAATTAATTCAAAATTCCTTTCAGACAACACAAAAATTCAGCGTAATACTGAAGCTATTCCTTCAGTTTCCTCTATTGTTAATATCCAAACAAATATAATTCCAGCGACACCCCCAATTATTCAAGAATGGAATCAACAAAATAATACATGGCACAACACAAAAACAACAAAAAATGGGTAAAATAATTTTTAAAAAATTATTTTCAAAATATTTCTCAAAGGATAATAAACAATAAACAAAACTATATTAACGAGAATGAACAAGAAATTCTTCGTTTACAACCTTGCCTTTGTCCAAAGCCTCTAGAAATTATTTGTAAACAACAAAACGAAAATGAACGGAATTTTAAATCTCAAAAAATTAAAAATAAAAGTGAAGATAATTACGAGGAGGAGGAAAATAAATGGAATAATGAAAGTACAAGTATATGGGAACAACGGAAATCATTTGTTGCAGAAATGGCTGAAGTTAATAAAGATATTTAATTTAAAATAAAAGATTTAATGAATCTACCTAATTAATTTGCAAGAGTAAAATTAATTTTTTAGGGTTTTAATCTGGCGCTGGAGAGGGGAAATATTCGAGGATGAGAACAATTAATAGAGTAAATAAGGGAAAAAAGAGGAGATACCTCTAGACTTTTTTTGTAAAAATTTTCTTGTATTTGCTTAGATGGGACAAGAAATTTAAATATTATACAAAAAATAAGTCTGCATTTATTTTAAAAATATATAAAATTAATATTTAAAATTTAAAAATCTAAAAAGATCATTATTAAACATGTCCCATACAGATAGGTTCACTAATATTCATCATATCAAATAACTTTGTTATCGAAGCATTTTCTTGCATCATTTTAACAACATTCTGTTTTTTATTTATTTTAATTTTTAATATATTTTATTTAAATTTACCTCAATTTTAGGAACCAATAAAAATAAATTTGCTCTAAAATTAAAAAAAATATTAAAATATCTTTATGTAAATAAAGTACATTCTAACAGATATCCCCTCTTCATTTAAACCAATTTCACGATAATATTTATGTAAATCAACAATTATCTCGTTTCGAACTTGCATTGCTTTACTTAAACTTTGCTCCGAAATGTCGATTGCTTTAATTAAAAATAATTTTTTAACTAATTGAATAAGTAATTAATTTTTGAATAACTTATATAATAATTAATTTTATAATTGTTCAAGCCGTATTTCCTTGAATAATTATAATGGGTAATTATTGCTTTCAGGTATAGTTGTGAGAGGATAATTAATCGAGAGGGGGCAATACGAGGAAGGTCAATTGATAGAGATTATACGGTAATCAGGGTATTCGAAACGGCCCGAACTTAAACAAAAAATGAGAATGTTGTTTAAATTATCCAAGTCACGGAACTGAGTATCTTTTAGCAGAACAAAATGGAATTTTTATTTTTTCAATAGATTGGTATATATTTCTAATCTAGGCTTTGATCCCACGTACTATAGTGACGCCGAATTAGGTTTCTATCAGAAATAAATTTAAAAATACAGACAATCATTCCAAAGAAACATTCCCATTAACGCAACCATTTCTTCCTCTTGCATTGCAAGATTACGCATATGTGGGACAACATTGGCAATTAAATATTGAATTGCATTATGGAATACTCTTAAATATATCCAGTATATTAAATAAATTTAATATATAAAACCTTGCAATTTGCTCAGGTTCACTGGTTACTTGTTTACTATCTTTGAAAAAAAGATGAAATTCACTTAAGCTGACATAACCCTTTAAATTAAATTTATTTACATAAATGTATTTAATTGCTTATAAGTTTAGGCAGAAAATTAATTTAGCAAAAATTTCCTAAGATTAATAATTTAAAGATACCCCATCAGGCATAATAAGCAGATCTTCACCTGGCCCAAACCTTAAATATGTTTGAAAAGCCCGTTCAGCATTACAAAACATTTGTCCATAATAATGAGTTAATTTTAACTAAAAAGAAAAAAATTGAATTTTTTATTTTATACACTCGGCATTACAAAAAGTTAAAATATATTTTCCGGTGTTTTCCCGCTTCAGCGATTCCAATTCCCAAACCGAGATTGCGGTTATTAACTTTTATAAACTTATTCACTGTTTCGGTAGAAACAAAAAATGGTAGAGAATTAAATACACATTAATTATAAATGGATAAATATTATTATTTTGAAGGAATTATGAATTATCTGGTTCCTGGCTAAAAATTTTCCGGAAATTTCTATGTATTTTTAATTCCGGAACTCGACAAACACCTTATTTTATTATATAATTCATTTTATAACTACTTTATCAGCTGCTGGAACTTCATTAAATGGATAGAAAAAACGTTCAAGAATATCTTGCATAATAGATATCTATAAAATAATTGTTGTTAATTTAAATTCAAACAAAAATTTCTTTTTACATTTATTTTACATATCTTCATATAAGTATCAATATGACTTCTCGGTAATTCACCCCCAGAAAGTGCAGATAAAGAAAAAACTCCAATCATTGCTTGACCAGCTTTACGTAATGATTTAAATTGTTGATATCCTTCCATCATTCTATGGAGATGAGTATATTGAGGAGATTGGTGGTTAATAAAATTGTCTTAAAATTAAGCAGGTATTTAATTACAGAATAAAAAAAAGTAAATTATTTATCTATGATTATGTGTTAGACCAAAAATTATAGTAAAACTAGGGTAATTTAGAAAGGAGTTTTTCTAATAATACTTTTCTAAACTTTAAATCTCCCTTTTAATCCACCTTTATATTTTTGTTGTTCAATACCAGAAACAAATCTTTTATTCCCAATTCCACTCTCAGATGGGAGAAGAGGCAAAGAATTCCTTTGATTATCATTTATTTGTTCGTACTGATTTTGAACAGAAGATGTAAGCATTCCTTCACGTAAACATTTTTCATACCGACATGAACGGCACATATTTCTTGCTCCTTTAAAGAAATATAAATTGAAATATTGAGTGACCAGTAGACCAAAAAAACAGTAAAAATAGGGTAATTTAGAAATGAGTCTAAAAATTATCATTTTTAACAATCAGCATTTTTAATAAAAAATAATTTTTATTAATCGTTAGAAGTTTGGCTTGGGGGGTTTATCCACATGGATATCAGAATATTATCTGTATCCGTTAAATATTTAAAAATTAATTTAATATTTATTTTTCAACCAAAGTATTACAAACCTCTATCAATTGAGCAATTACCATCTCGCTTAAATATAAAATTAAATTTAAAAAATTAAAGTTTATTTATAATTAATAAATTATTATTATAGTAAATAATTACACCCTCTAGATAAGTACCCACACCCTCCCAGCGAGAATTTACTTTATTTTAATTAAGGTAAATTAAGTAACAGTAAAGGCAAGAGAAGTTTTAAGTCAGAACGAAAAGTCTTTGAATGTCTCTATAGTGATCAGAGCCCTTTGTTATTACATAAATTAATTACTTATACTTTATAGAATTAATAATTCTAATTTATTTAACAACAAATTCTAAAACATACTTTACAAATATATTTAAGTCGTTGACTCACAGTTCGTCTTAAATATAAAATTTAAAAAAATGTTAATAACACATAAATGAAAAAATGGGGCGTTTTAGAAAATTTAGTGGATCTAATGCTTTATAATTATTTAATGTTTGAGGGTTCTCTATTGAAATTAAAATTTAATTTAATTTTAATTAGTTTTTATTAAGTTAGTTCTCTATTAAAATACCAACAAATTCTCCATAATTAATAAAAATTAATTTAAAATTTTGAGGAAAAATATTTTAATTTAAATTTATTTTTAACCTAAAAAAAGCAGCACAAGCTCTACATGAAGATTTACCAAAATGTAACCCTAATAAATAATTTTAATAATAATTTATCAAAAATTAAAAAAATTAACCATCACTTTCATCCCCACAAACAACACAAATTCTTTGTTCTTTTATGTTTATTTTCTCATCAATATTTGTTGTAAGCATTATTTAAATTTTAAGTAAAATTTTTAATTGAAAATTTTTGGTGATAAAATAAGAGGGTTTTAACACTTAAAATCTTTGTCAAAAAATTTTTTAGAAGGAAAGGACACAAAAATTAATGTTTAATTTTGTATTTTGTGTTAACAATTTCTGATAAATTTTAATGTTTAAATAAATTATAGTTTATAAATTTTAAATATAAGGCCTTTTTACTCTCGACTTAACAAAAAATTTTTTTATTTAATTGAAAGACGAGAGGAAGGTTTTTATTGATTTTGTTTGGTTGAATGACGTTTACTATTTAATATTGAAGAAAAAAAAGGAGTGAAATAAATGTATATTGTACATAAAATAAAGAAAATTTAATTTAGAAAATAATTTAAAGAAAAATTAATTTAATTTAAGTGATTATTAAAGAATTTTTTAAATAAAAAATATTAAATTAAATTATTATTTTGTCTTTTTTCAGCATTGTTCTTCGAGAATGAATCCATTCTCGAAACATCTCTGAAATTTAAAATCGAGATACCGATTGATAATCTAAAAAATTTCGCGAGATTATTGTCTCATTCCAAATATTACTAAATTTTTCCTTATTTTCATTGGAAATTTAAAAAATATATGTAAATACTTTTAATGATCAGAAACAAGTCAAGAAGGCAGATCTTATTAATTTTTAATTACTAAATTCAAAAGAAATTTTTATTCTGAGAGAAATCATTAGAATTAAACTTTTATTTTAAACATTTTATTAAATTGAACGTTTATTAAACAAAATCTGATTTTCTTTTAATTTATTTACTGACTGGAGTAATCTTCATTTCTTTTTGATTATTAACAATTACTGCATTTATTGTCGAGACACCCGATTTATTTAATTTTAATAATTTTTTAACATCAACAAATGCTCGTTTAAATGCAATTCTATATTCACCACTGAAATAATAAATTATATTTAAATTGAAAGTTATTTAGTGCGGGAGCAGGCCAACCCAACCCTCCGCCGAGGCTATAACTTCTTTCAAAATTGTCGAATCCGAAACACCCTTGTATTGTTCGATGCACCTCGACGAGCTGAATCCAGCCATGCCAAGTTCCCTAGATTCGACAATTTTAAACAAAGTTATAGCCTCTGCCGTAGGTTGGGCTCGCGGTAGGTTGGGGTGTACGCATTTAGTGTCGATATTGAATTTTGGAAATTCTATTTGCCTAACATAGGCAATAAAGGAATTTTTTAAGAAAAATTTTTTTAAATTAAATTACCTATTAAAATATAGAATAGGGCCAATAGAAGCAGCAGCAATATTGAGAAAAATAGCAAAAATATTATTAAAAATCCAGATATTTAAAGGTGTTAATTGAACAATGGATAATAAAAGGAAAGCAACAAACAAATTACAAATAAAATATCCCCCAATATTAACCAAAACAATTAAAAATAAAGATAAATACATTTTTTTAATTCTTTCATCTTTTACTTCTGTTAAAAAATAATTCTTTTAATTTAAAAAATTTCTCTAATTTTTAATACCTGTCTTAAATTTAATTAAAATTCCACCAATTATATAAATAATAATTGCAGTAAACATTAAACAAACATCAGAATAATATATTATATTCATTAAATATAATGGGGGAGTAAATAAATCACCTAATCCACCAGAAATCATCCAATTTGGTGTTGATATTTTAGCCATATTCATAATGAACATTCCATAAATTATGTGAAGTAAAATAATAAAAACGTGTAATGAGATGTAATAAAATTGTTTTAGGTTGCGATAACTTTAAAATTTAAAAATAATTTTTTATGTTTTAAATTAGTCTGAGATCAGATATGAGATATTGTTTTTTAAAAATTATAATTTTCCAAAAAATAATAAAATTTACAATGTCAGGTTTGAAGATGATATGATAAATATTTATTATTGGGCCTATTAGGTATAAGTAATTGATGAGGAAAAATGTTCGATCCCGTTTGGAAGTAAAATTTCGGCACATTTAAAATACCTTGGACTATTTTAGTAAGCAAAGCTCTGCGCAGAGATTTGCCTTCTAAAATGTGTTTAGGACAATAAACATTTACCGAATTTCCTTTCCTTTTAAATTAAATTTTTAAATTAATAATATACAAACGTTATAGGTATAATAACAGCTAATAATCTATCAACACTGAGTGAAACAAGCATAAAAACAGCTCCAAAGAATCCAAAAAGGGAAGGAGTATGAATTAAAATTGCTTGTTTGTATGGAATAAAATCCATTCCAAAGAAAAGAATTTTAATTAAAAATATTAAATGGCCACTTTGATGGAATATTTCAAAGAATGAAGCTAAAGCAAGTAGAAAACCAGTATTACATTTGAGTGTTAAATAATACTTTCTTAAAAATGATTAATAAATTAATGAATTATGTATATATATTTTTATTTATTTTTTTATAATTAACATTTTTAATAGACCTTATTTTAAATTCTTGGCTATGTAAGTCTATAATAAATTACAACACATTGGCTTCCTTATTAATTCAGTGAGTATTTCGACAATAATTAATTCGATAGGGTACCCTCTTTAAAGCTTAAAATGTCTTGACCATGACTATTCCTTTAATTTCAATACCGAAAAACACTCAGAAGATTCTTGCGAATCTCTATCTTTACTCATGCACTTTAATTTTTATGAGGTGATTAATAATTTGAAATTTTGTTCACAAAATTTAATAATTTTTTCGGTAGGATTTACACATTTTTATTGTAAGTAATTAAACACAAAATTTAATATTTAATTTACCTATATTTTAAAGTAACTATGCACACACTCAAATTAAAAATAATCCCAATAAAACCAATTGTTGCAAATACCCAAGCGGATAAATACAAGCATAATTGATAATATTTATTTTTGCCAAATTCAATAAAAAGCTTTTAATTATTTTTATTTAATTATATTTGAAAATTAATTTACTTACAGGATTAATTGGTTCTATTAAATTAATTGTCGAATTCATTTAATTTTTATTTAGAAGATTTTTTAAATGTTTTTTAAATTAAATAAAACTTTATTTCTAAAATAAAATATTTATTTTTTCAAAATAAATTTAAAATTTTTTTGTTTATTTAAATAAATTAAACTTAAATTTTATTTTAAAATTTTTAGTTAAAGTTTCATTTATTTTTTTCCGAATAACCTTTGATTATTCGGATTTTAAAAACACAATTTTAAAAAATATAAAGGTGCTTTTTATAAAATGAATATTTAATATTTTTAAATACTCTCTATTAAATGTTTATTATTAGTTTTTAATTAAAGTTGCCTAATTATTGGTGCGAAAATTTATAATAGGTACTTTTAAATAATGGTTTAAAGAGCAGTATTAAATTTGTCCTTTTGTATTTATTTTAATTTGTGTTAATTAACAATAATTACGTAGCACAACTTTTAAAAAATTCAAAATTTTAACATAAGTAATTTTAAATGCGTGGTAAATAAAAAAAACTGTATTTTTTATACTTAAAAATGTTCTCATTTTGTAAAGTTCTCTTAAAATTAAATTAAAATTATTTTTAATAATATTTAAATATCCGAATTAGCCTTTTTCTGATAAAAACGAATTATTAAATTATAATGTAAAATAAATATTTAAATAGTTACAGGGTACGGCAAATTAATTTAATTTAAATAAATTTATGGAAAAATTTTTTTAATAAAATTAGGTATTTAACTTTTAGGTCGCATCAAAGCGAATTATTTAATATTAAATTACAATGTAAAATAAATGTCTAAATATTTATTTAATTTAAATAAATTTAAGAAAAAATCTTTAATAAAATTATTTAACTTTTAGGTAACAAAAAATGAACAAAATCAGTTTTATATGGTTGCTAATAAATAAATATTTGCTTTTAAATTTAAAAAATTAAAAAAAACACAAAAATATGTAATAGTTAAAGTTTAAAAAATAGAGAATAAAACTAAAATTGGAAATCGGAAAGGGGACGTCTTACGAGAATCGAGATCTCGAAAAAATCTCAAAAAATCTCAATTCTCTATTAAAATTACCTGGCAAACTAGGTCACAAAATAAAAAAATCTTTAAAGTCAATTCAAAGTTAGTGGATTTCTAAATATTGTTTTATACCAACAACAATTCTCTTAGAGAGTTGTGAGTTAAAAAAAGTTATTAATGTGTAAATATTGACTTTGAAGAGATTTCTGACAAAAAGAAAATTACTATCCCAATTTGCCGCACCCTCTAATAATAAAAATAGATCTTTAAATAAAGGTGAAGCATATTATTTAAAAATAAAGATTAAATTAAAAATAAAGAAAAATTAGTCTTGCATTTGAGTAAAAAAATTTTAAAAATTTATATTTTAATTAAAAAATTAACAAAAAATCGGAAACAATAAATTTAAAATATTATTTAAAATAATTTATCTAAAATAATTCCACAACTAATTCTAACAATTACTTCCAATTTCTCTCTAAATTATGTCAAAACAAATCCTTTAGAAAATTCTATTAAAAATATTTTTTAATAATTTTTTTTAAATTTTAGTACCTTTTTTTAATACATCACCAGAAACATCAAAAATTGACAATTTCTTCTTTTCTTTCAAAATTTCCCCATTTCTATTTTCTAAAATAAAATTTTTAAAAATATTTTTTCTAATTAATTTATATTTTTCTTTAAAATTAATTGAATTATTTAATGAAGATTTTAATTTAATTCCAACAATCCATGAAGTACAAAATTGATTTCTAAAATATTTTCTTATGATTATTGTTAAAAATTCTCTCTTACATTTTAGGAAGATTTAATCCGCAATTTTCTGTTTTTAATCCAAAGTGGCAGTAATCTACCTTAATTAAAAAATTTTTATTACATATTCTTTAAAAGGAGGAAAAAATTCTGAGACATTTTTATGTTATGGAAAAATTCATTGGAATAGAAACATCATGGAATAAGCTGAGACTGGAGCAACAACCGCGACTATGTCACCAC